GCATTCCTCGATTTTGTTTTCGTTTTGGGTCTGTTTTTTTTTTTGTCTTTTGTTTTCATTGGAGGAGGAGGGGGGGGGAGAGTTGTCCGCCTCTCACGTTCACTTTCGTTGTTCCTCCGTGTCCCCACTTCTCAGCTACTCACCGCTTCTTTCCTTCTGCTGCTCATGCCGCTGTTGTCGTAGTGCAGCTCGCACGGCAGCCGCCGGGGGGGAGACGACACCCGCACCGCGCCCACCGGCGTGCAAGCACAACGGCCGGAAAGAGTGCCCACATGCACACGCACCTCTCCCCGCACAAACACACACACCATACAGATATAGATCTACATATAAATATCGAAATGCACAAAGGCAGCGAGCGTCAGAACACGCAGGAGAAAAAAAAATTGGAAAACGGAACAACCAAACACACATAAAAACGTAAAGATGAGTAGCAGCAATACAACACGGTAAGGAAGCATTCGGACACAATCAAATAAAACACACGGCAGTCTGATTTGAATAGAGCGAAGAGTGGCGAATGAGGCCCACGCGTTGAACTCCGCCGGAGCCGCGCGACCATGTTGCCGTGGTGAAACGTTACTACCAGCAGAAGCAACAAAAGTGTCTGTGCAGCAAACCTCCATTCACCTTATGAATACCCCCCGCCACGCAGACACACACACACACAGACACACGAATGCGTACAAGCCATCACACAAACACAAACACATACAGAGAGAGAGAGTGTGTGTGTGTATATCGCATTGGCCACCCTCGCCTCTCCATAAACAAAAAAAAACGACGAGGGAAGCAAGGAAAGGAAGCACAGAAACTATAAGCATGGGAGCACTAATATACCGAATGAGATGCACATGATTAATGGTAACAGCTTCTGGAAAGAGCAGAGTGAGTGAGTGAGAGAACGAAGCGCGAGACCAGAAAAAAAGAGCAGAAAATATCATGTGAGCATCCAGCAGCAGCGGCGTGAAATTCGGAATAAGGGAAGTGAGCACCACGCAGGCCCTCTCCCCGCCCTGCTCGCTTCCCCCACACACACCACGCACACACGTGCAGTTCCCAAAAACACGCACACACACTTATACATACATACATATATGCATACATCCAAAATGCACACGGAGTTCATATGTCATTGAAGTGGTAACAACAAAAGCAGCAGCAGCAAGAGGTGTTGCCATTTTCTGTTGCCCTGGTTCCACATATGTCCTTGTTTAATAAAATTGTTTCACAACCACCAGGTATGAGAGGGGGAACCATATGTCACACACACACACACACACGTGGGGAATGTGCGAAAGAAACGGGAAGCAACGCCTTTTTTTTTTTAATGACAAATATTGTTTCCGTCTTGATTTGTGTTTGTTGTTTTCTCTCGGTTTTGTTTTGTTTTTGATTATTTGACATTCACCCCGTTTTTCTTCGCGCCCCCTCCTCAAACGCGCCCCCATCGCATTGTAACAGTAACAGCAGCAGTGGTAGCAGTGCTCGCGCTCTTGGTGCCGCTGCTGCTGCTGCTGCGACCTCCTCCTCTCTTCGCAGCAGTTCTTTTCTCCTCCACCACCACCAGCTATGCGGATCCCGTCTTTGTTTGCGCAGCAGCAGTGCTGCTGGGAAGGCATTGTTGTGCAAGCACCGAAGAAATGAAACGGAAAAGATGTGTCAAAGAAACGGAAGACACACACACACATACATATATAAACAAATATATATATATATATATAGTCACGCAGACAACAAGGGAATGAGAGAGGTGGTCCCACGGAGCATACAGACGGGAAAACATGAGGGTAAAAAGGAGAAGCGAGCACCCCAAGAGGGAAGGGGGGAGAACACAAAAAAAAATCTGAAGACACCACTCGAGGGAAAGGGGGGAATGACCAAAGGAGGCCTTAACAAAAAAGGCATTGAAAAGGCAAAAAAAAACTCTGAAAGGAGCCAACGGGTGAATAGCAGCGAAGTCAGGAAACACAGGCATTACTGGCAAGCGAAGAGACAACCGGCTTGGGAAGAAAGGGGGGGGAGAGACGAAGTGAGAGGGAGTCACACCACGTGAAGGTACAGCCAATGCAGACAACACTGAAAAAAAGAGGAAAAAACAAAAACAAAATAGTGATAAAGGCGTGGAAACAACAACTCCGCCAGCGTCATCGGCGACGAGATTAGTCCAACAGCGGGGGAGCGCCCAAGCGGGATTCCGGGGGCTTCCAGCCACCACATCCGCGCGCCCCGGCAGGAGCGCCGCCGTCTGCGCACCTCACACTCGCAGGCGCGAAAGGCGAGAGGGCGGAAGCAGCAGATGTGGTGGTTGTGGTGTGGATGCCCACCCCCTTCTGCTGTTTTTGAACGCTTCGTTTTTGTTTTGTTTGTTTGTTTGTTTGTTTGTTTTTTGTTGTTTTTGTTTTTTTTTTCTGTTTTGTTTGATTTGTTTTTTTCTTTGTTTTTATTTCGTTTCGGTTCCCCAATTGATACATGCACGCAGACATATATGCTCGTGGTGTGGCTCCCCCTCTTCGCTCTGCATGTAAGTCTTTTCTTTTTCTTTTTTTTTTTGTCCTTCGTTATTCTTCGATGCGGAAAGTGTTTCCTCTTTACCCTTACCTCGGCATTTCACCTCTTCTCTCATTTCTCTTCTTTTTTCTTCCTCTTTTTTGCTTTCGCTTTCGCCCGCCGTTCATTCATCACCCCTTTCGTTGTGTGCCTTCGTTTCCCCCAGCGTGGCGGCGCCCACCACACACACACACACACATGGACAGTGCGCCAGCGCGCGTGCGGCCGCCGTTCGTCGTGCCTCCTTCGCGGAGTCGTGGGGGGCGGAGGAAGCGCAGCGGGCAAGCGGGGGAGTGGGAGAGGTGGAAAAAAGACTACTGGCAGCCAGCGCACCCCCTCCGTGCCTGCGGTATCCTTCACAGCCGCTGCTGCTGCTGCTGCTGCGATTAATGCCCGGGCTGGCTGCCAGCTCAGTGCTGCCGTGGCCATTAGTACCCGTTATTACCGCCCCGCCGAAAGCCCGCACACACACACACACACACAAGGAAACACACCAACACACACACACACAGAACAAAACAAGCAAGCGAACAAAGAAACAAAGGCAAGACAAAAAAAAACAGGAGAGAGGAATCACAAAAACAACACAAGGGAAGAAAATGGCGCGAGATGCGACTCCGCGTGCCGCCGCTCACAAGCAGCTTTCCACAAGCCACCCGCCGTCAGCCAAGGCGGGTGGGCTGAAGCAGTCGTCGCCGAGGTCGTCGCTGTCGCTGCTGTGCCCGGAGCTGCTCGCACCGCCGCCGCTGTGCAGCGAGCCGTCGGGCGAACACACCGCACCATCGCCCAAATCGCGCTGCTCAGAGTCAAGCGCCACCGGGTCCAGCGGCATCACGAGAAACACGCACATCGACAGTGTGTCAGCGTCCTGCTGCGCCGCGCACGGGAAGAGGTCTCTGCTGTCGCTGCTGCTGTTGTTGTTGTTGTTATTGCTATTGCTGTTGCTGCTGGGCGACG